TTGAAATACGCTTATTATCAATCCAATTCACTAGAGGTTTTATGAAAGCTGAAAAACTAAACACGTTCATCTCTCTTTCGCGTACTACTTATAAGTGATCTTTCCATTAATTACATCTAGATGATTTGCTTTTTACAAAACTTAATTAAGAGTAGGACTGCTACGTATAATTCAAGTGGTGTCCGTCAAGACTGTCCACTTTCTCCATTTTTGTTCAACTTCATCATAGATCTACTGATGGAAATAACGCTCTCGTCGACTGAATTCTCGGGTATTGATCTCCTATCAGGAGGTCCACTTATGGACTTAGAATACGCAGATGACATAGTCCTGTTTGATGAAGACGCAGAGTCTCCTGGTAGCACTGAGCAACAATGCCAGGATGTTCGGGATGCGTTTCTCCCCTCCAAATGTAAGTTGATGCTTCAGGATTGGCCTGCATCAACACCTGAACCAAGGATAGGGAGTGAAGTAGTCGAACGCATTGACAACTTCACTTATCTTGGAAGTCTGATCAGCCCTAATGGGTTGGTGTCTGACGAAATCTCAGCACGGATTCGAAAAGCTGGTTTGACCTTTGCCAACTTACGTCACCTATGGCGAAGGCGAGATATTCGTCTATCAATTAAGGGACGAGTATACTGCGCGGCAGTTCGTTCTGTTTTACCTTACGGCTGCGAAACGTGGCCATTAAGAGTAGAAGATACTCGTAAGCTACTAATATTTGACCACAGATGTCTTAGAAATATTGCTGGGATCACCAGGTAAATAATAGTGAGGTTAGACGCGGGGTATTAGGGAATGATGGTAAATCAGTTGATGTTGTTGTGATTCTCCATCGACCGAGATGGTTGGGCCACGTATTGCATATTCCCAACCACCGATTACCACGACGCGCAATGCTTACTGGTGTTGGAGATGGTTGGAAGAAAGTTAGGGGTGGCCAAACCAAAACGTGGCGTCAGTGCTTGAAGTCACTAACTTCTGGTCTGAGCTATGTTGTTAGATGCGAACTACTTGGTTGGGGTCCGCGTGACTATCGTAATCAATGGTTGGAGACTCTGGGCGACGTGGCTCAGAATCGATCACAGTGGCGTCGGTGTATACACTCTCTGTCTTCCCTTAAACTATGAGACTAAAATTATTTCATATCTTTCCTCCTACGAACTAGCTTTCATCCTGTACTATATCCTTATATGCAATCTCGTCTTTATATATTACTCCATTGATTTGATTGCTTCTATGAATTCGATGTTCATCTTGCTGTGCTAATGAGGTGTGGCAACTGGGACCGATACATATATGTGCCTGGTTCTTCGTTGTAACTGACTGACTGAGGTTTGTACTGATTCGTCGTTGAAGATGAAAATGCATATTTCGAATAAGATATACTTAAATGTTAGAATACTTGGGACTTCTGGGGTTTTATAATATACAACGAACTAATGTGTAGGGTCTATAAACAACTAATATGATCATCTGTGCTACGCAACATTGTTTTATTGTTGGTAAGTTAACGTTTACTAGTGACTCTAATCCAAAATGTCTCCCAGTATTTTTTGTAGTACCTCATTTATGTTGAGATGTCTGTAATTATGTAGCGGTGTTTTACTACTTATTAGATATTAACTGATTTATTTATTTATGGCTTTATTCAATATTATATTTTGGTACAATATAGAATCGATTGGTTTTCTTCTCTCTCCAATTTTATAGTACAACGAATCGTAAGTCATGTTAAATGCGAATGTCGATAGATTGGTTAAAATTTGTCTACCTATTTTTATTGGAATCACCTTGCGCTCATCTACCAGTTTACACTCATATTCCGGCGAAAATAAACCACCCATGTATGGTGACTATGAAGCTCAACGTCATTGGATGGAAATCACCGTTAATTTACCGTTTACAGAATGGTATATCAATTCAACACATAATGATTTGAATTATTGGGGGTTAGATTATCCACCTGTTACGGCATATCATAGTTGGTTGATGGGTAAACTAGCTAATAAAATTGACCATGATTGGGTTCAGTTGTACAAATCGAGAGGTTTCGAATCTAAAGAGCACAAGTTGTTCATGCGTTATACTGTATTGGTAGCTGATTTATTGTTTTTTATACCTTCCGTATTACTGTATTTTTATTATGTTCTACCTAGCATTATGAATAATAAATCACAAATCGGTGGATTTTATTCAACATGCCTAACATTAACTTATCCTGGTCTTATATTGATTGACCATGGACACTTCCAATATAATTGTATCAGTCTTGGTTTGTATTTGAGCGGAATTAATTTCCTCCTCCTAGAGTGGGATATAATCGGATCTATATTATTTTGTTTAGCCATAAGTTATAAACAAATGGAACTATATCATGCGTTGCCAATTTTTTTCTTTTTATTAAGCAACTGTATTCATAAAAAATCAGTGTGCAGTGGGATAACACATCTAGCTAGACTGAGCTGTGTCGTTTTCTTGACAATGTTTTTGATATTCGTACCGTTTTTACTAACAACCGATTTGAATCTTTTATTTCAAGTTGTCCGACGTTTATTTCCGTTTGATCGCGGTATTTACGAAGATAAAGTATCTAATTTTTGGTGTGCTACATCACCGCTAGTAAAATGGCGTTCGCCACTTTCTACGTCATCTATAACATTATCGTCTACTAAACTGGTGTGGGTTAGTGTCCTGCTCGTACTGACTACATGCCTCCCATCTTGTTTAGTTTTGTTAAAGAAGTCTAAAAACCAAAAATTCCTGATTTCTCTAGCACTATGTGCGTTAAATTTCTACTTATTTTCCTTCCAAGTTCATGAAAAATCAATTTTGTTAGTGTCCATTCCTGTTTTGTGTTTGCTACCTTATTATCCCATATCGTCATTTTTGTTCTCCTTATGCTCTACTCTTAGTATGTGGCCATTATTTAAAAAGGATGGTTTACAATTGGCTAGTTTATGTTTAACATGTATACACACCATTCTAGGCTTCTTTATAATACTTAAATGTAATAATAGTGATAAACATGTTGCTGAAAAAAAGAAATTACAAAGTAATGCTACGAGTAATAATATATCAATATTTATCATCCTTTTTATCCTTATTGGCTATAGTAGTTTGATTATCGGTGACTTATTGATTACACCTCCTTTAGCATATCCCGATTTATTTCCTTTGCTATTTTCTATGTACTCCTTCACGCTGTTTTCCTTATTCATGCTCTATTGGCAGTTAGATGTTATTTTTATGTAAAAACTTTGTGTTTAGTTATGTTTCTGAGAAAAATAAATGTTCATAAAGTTCGCGTTCTATACTTCAAAAGTTTAGTTTACTGGCTAATTTGTTCTATTTGGTATACACTAACATGCTTGTAATAAGAATAGATATGTTTTTATAATAAGCTTTGTGACCCAATAAAATTGCAACAATGGAGGAGTATTACAATTTTCTGCTGCAGGCAAATAGATTAACTATTATATTCATGATACAACCTAGTTTTAAACAACCAAGGACAGGGTAGGAGGTGGCTAGGACTGTCTCAGTCACGCGTCAGTTTAACATCTTTATCACGTTCATCAAGCTTTGCCCCGATACCGAACACATGTAAGCAATGCTTCGAAGAATATTTAATAATAGTAATTTCATGTATCCACTTTTAAAGATCATGTCTTAAATGAACTGCTGCTTGACAAGTAACTTGTATAGACAGAAGTCAAGGAAACAAATTTTATAAGTGCTTGGGTTTCATCACTGGCCGAAATTCTGGAACAAGTGAAACAGGCAATGGTCATTGATCCAGATCAGTCCAGAAACAAGCACCTAGAACAGGATTTTGTACCTATGACATTTTAAAGGTTGAAAGTAGATACCTAACATAGTAAACTCATGTGCCGATTCATCACATCCTGAAGCGTCCTAAATTTTTAGGTAAATAAACTTAAGTTGGTTGATATAATCCCTTGGCCTGTGTTCCACTGGCAAACACTACTATTAGATCTCAGTTGACGGCGAATTGAGCCGAAAATTGCGACAATGTTAAACAAACGTAGTCAGTAAAACTTGATACTTATGTACATAGATTTAATATGCCATACTCCATTTGCATAAGATGGAATTGTCAGGGCAAATCCCAAAGCAGCAAAAGTAGTTACATTATTAGTGGTAGTATGAAATTGGGAATCGAAGACATCGATTAATGGAGTAAAGGAAACCCATAATTGAAGAACTCAAGATCAAAAGATTACGAGTAGATACATCTGCGCCACCGCGAACGATTGTGAGCCATTTAATACTAAGTCTTGAACCACTGATTGCAGTTATCACGAGGACAACAATTAGGTAGTCTAGATTCATTAACATGGTTCAGTCCGCTTGTCAATGCGTTTACACACTGGTGCCGTATTGATTTTGCCGCGTCTAACTTTCTTTAAACCTACTCATATACCAGAAAAAATCCATCGAGGTAGGTTGAGAATGGCACACGTAATACATGTCCAAAATATAAGCTATTAGCAAATCATCACTTGTATGTCTTACAAAATGGGAAGGAATTAAGCCAAATATCTAGAGCAGTATTTCTGGCTGAAATCTAGCAACATTTAGTTACCTACAAAGTATCGTTTAAACACGTTAATTTACCTCAGTTCATTTTGTAAGATATCGAATGAAACATTAGCCATTTCGTCCCGTAATATTTATGCAGCAAGGATGGTCATACACCAACTACGCATAGTCGATATACTATCACCACTACTACAACGTTCAACCAAATACGTCTAGTATTTATTTGTCCAAGTTTCGTTATGCGATACTAGGAGAAGCCATTTCTTAAGAAAGAATAGCAGGTGTATTCTGCAAAGTACCGCACCGGACCAACTATTAGAAGGAAAATTACGATACGAACTTGAGACTTGGCCATGATTTCAAAATATTTTTTTGTTATGTATTTACACTTAGAAATTGTTTAAGAGTATGAACTATGAAAACGAATGTTTTGTCGCAAAAATTTATTTCAAACGATGTAAACAAAGCCACGAATCGACTGCAGTGTAGAATTTTTGGTGGTGCCCTTTATAATAAGGGATGTGCCAACCGGTTTCTAGGTTACCGTGTACACACAAGTCACACTTTGAGGGTTTCTGAAAGGTAACATGTAAATCCATGTAAACAAAATGAAAAATAAATATATATTTAGAAATCTTATCCAGGTAATGATAAAAAAGAAACTGGAATTTGTGACGTCAGCTATAACTGCAAGATTTATTTATTTATTGAAACATAACTTATACAAAGAGGCACTAAATATGTATGTTCCACACTTCGTCACTCGATTTTTGTGAAGGCTGGAATAGTCCCCGGAAGCCAATTGTTATTTCAGGGGGTTGCAGCCCAATCCCTTGACCTGGATGTATAATCTACTGGGCAGTGGATCAACGTAGAGATGCAGTCCCATGGTAATTAGTGACCAATGTTAGGTTCGCACGCCAATTGTCCCCTCAGGATTCTGGAGCTCATGTGCACCACTGTTTTGGAAGCACATCTTTTGGTAGACCAAAAGGGAATGTCTGTAGTCTTAGCCGGGTTGGTGGTAAGGGTAATTGGAAAACCCTGATTTCAAAACATTGGTCATACGGGATAAAGATACTAAGTAAACAAATGGCGTATGAACCTAATCTTGGTCACTGGCTACCATGGGACAGCATCTCCTCACGTTGCTCCATTGCCTCGTGGATCAGACCTCCAGGTCAAAGGCTCAGGCAGCGACCCCCTAAGAAAACCACCTGCTTCTGTTCGAGCACTTGGGCAGAATTCTAGTTCACACAACTCAAATGGGAAAAATTATGCTCACTCCAAGCATTAATCTCATAAATTATACTGAAAACTACTCGGTACCATTTGTTCAATTCTTTAGATTACGTTATTTGTCAATTTCATTTTGTTCGCACTAATTTAGGAACACACCTATGGTGGGAAGTTTTTCTTCTTTAAACGGTCTCAAGTCACAACCCCACACGAATACTGTTCTAACCAGTCGTATTTGTGACCTATAGGGACTTTCTGGTTGCATGACAGACATTTCCAATGCAGTACCTGGCGTTCTTTCACTAAATCTCAAGCCTGGGCTCAGATTGGTCCCATCGGTGTCAGATACTGCTGTCGTGGCTGTGTAGGAGACTGCCGCTCTTTTTAGAGCACTTATCTGGAATCTGAGCTTGTCTTCGTCTGCGCCAATCTGATATTAATTTTCAATGGCTAACAATTTATTTTCCTAAAGGGATCGATGTAACCAAATTGAATGCAGCCTCTATCAAACCGTGTTAGGTCCAAGGATGGCTGTCAGCTTACAGAGAAGTGTAGATCAGCATCGCTTGGATTTACATGATGCCATGAGAACGGCAAATAAAGTCGCTTGCGAGTTCGCGAGATGTTCCGCTTATAGGCACTGGGTTTTCTACAAGTTACAACTCCTTGTTGCATATCATTCTACATGATTTCCAAATGTTACAACATCGCCATACTTATTACCGCGCAACAATTGTTGTGTTTCTTGACATTAGGATAATCTTCGATTGGTTGGACAGGACTGTTCTCTGGGAGTATCCATTGAAGGAGAGTGTATCTGGGAAGTCTATTATCATCTTCAAAGCCCCATATACAAACAACTCAGATAGAGTGAGAACATACAACCACCTCTCTCCATTCTTTCATCCAAGCAGTGGGGTTAGAAAGGATTGCTCAACCTCGTCGTCGATGACGTTCTGGGAACACAAATAATGTTCTGGAAGTATCCCTCCCAAACTTTATTTATCCCAAACAAAAGTTTTACGACCTTATTAACTTGACATCATGATACACATATTCTTTTCCAATCACCTTCGTATTTATGAGTATATCAATTAACGTTGATTTCAAGATATTATAGGTTGTAAGCAGCTGATAAGAACCTAACGAAATAAAATGAATTCATATTATTCTGAATAAATCTTCGTTCTTGCTCTCTTCAAGATAATAAACGGAACTATGTGTATGGAGAATGTTGGTGAGCGACCTATGCTCCTTCACGAGGAGCAACAGGCGTAAGTAAGTAACGTGTATGAAAATGGGGATAGTCAGTAGTTTTAACGAATAGCACGGAAGTTCACTAGTCTTTTGTAACCGTTTGATTCAAGTTGTTGATAGATGTCACATATGGCAAATTGTTGCTTCAAGATCCATTAGGTGCTCAGCTAATTCTTCCCTAAATGCATGTTTGAAATTTTAGTTCTTCGAACTTATATCTAGGTCTTTGTGTAACATCTTTACGTCCTCTAAAGCACACAGAAATGTGTGCTCTCGCTAAGACATGATCGAGATACAGGCATGCACTGTAGTAAAAGCGACAGTGTTCTGTTGATTTTCTCTAACAATAGTTGTTAGGAATTTTATTTATTTATCCTCACTGTTGTGTTGATTTTAAGGATCATCAGATTACACAGTATCTTTCTTTATGCTTAAAATTTGTACTTACTAGGGATCACCGTCACTGTTTGTTAGGCTGGGAAATAAAATTCAAGTGCTTTTTAGTTTGACTCGATTTCCCTACTTAGGCGTTAAAATTGCCTGCTGTGGCTACGTCAAAAATGTACATGTAAGACTTGCTCTTTACTCCAATTGGGCTGGGGCATAGGCACCAACGACGAAGAGGCAATGGCGTGTGTTCCTATCTTCTTGAGCGACAGAGACGTAGCATATGAGGGTGTCAGTAGGGATTCAATTGACAAGCGTCTACTTAGCCCTTACCGTTAAAGCTTTACTTACACCGCCAAGAACATGAAAAATTTCTGTCGCGTCTCCAGATAGTGGTTTGGTGAGGTCAAGTGAATGACCATATGAGTGTTTAGAGACAAAGCACACATCAATGACGATGTTCGGTTTTACACAGGGTTCGGACATTAAAACACCGTTTCAGACGATCTGGTACACCATTTTGTTGAATCAAATCGTTAGAGTTGATGTAACACGTTGAAAAAGTAGATGAAGGAGGATTGATAGAGGAGGAATGGTGTTTGATAGTGAAATTAAATTTGATTCGTCACTGAGTGTGGGACAAACAGACAGGCAACTTACTGGCTATCAAATATGTGATTGTTGATTTTTACTCCGGACTCACTAAAAGTGACTGATTGTAATTGTGTGAAATAAAGTATTATTTAGCGTTACTCTGATTTTCTATCCTTGGTCGTCAATAGTGGATCTGATATGATGTGATCTAGTCTGAGTATAGTGGGTCGCTCAGGCATCCATTCCGGTGATATAATAAACTCGGTCGCCCAGACCAGTTTTAACATATTGTATTACCATAAAATATTGTAGAGAGAGAGAGAGAAATATTTTAAACCATCCAATATATCAGACTATAAGTAGTATTTGGTGATGAAGATACGGTTTGTCCCCTCATGTTATTAGAAGTATAAGAGTGATCATATCTCTGATGCCCACACTGAGGAAGCATATAATTTATTAGGGGGTCTGATTCGGTGGGGGAAGGTGAGGTTAGACATATTTAGGGTCGATCTTTTCTAAACCCTTCCTTCATTTGTGAGAAGGTAGAATCAGGGCAAATGCTCGTTGCCGGAGGGAAATACCTTACGGCCGTCACACCTCAGTACAGCTGGCAGTACGGGTTAGCTCTTGTTGAATTTGTTGATTTAAGCATCACCGTCCCTCAAACGATCCGCTTAGCATGATACGACCTAAAAGAACAAATTTTCCAAGCAACATAGCTCCTCAGACCATTACAGTTTGATTAAGTCAGTAAAATTAATGTTACACTTTGACACCAAGAAATTAGCTACCGAAAGTAGAGTACACTAATCAACAACTGAAATAGTGAGTTAGTAAGAATATCCTTGGGAAAACGACTCCATATTATACAAATCAATTTCAATATCATCGAGCTACAATGAAATACTAAATCAGCTGTTATACAAGTATTATTATTGTACTTCCTAATAAAAGAATTCCTAGGAACACGAAGTAATCAGATTGGTATTCAGTTGCAGTAATCATGGTTTTGAAATTAGTAGTTAGCAATAGTAAAAGCTGTGTAGAAGCTTAAGACGAATTCGCATTCAAAATTAGTCTTACTTGGTATATCCGACCACGACGTTGTAGTACAAGTTGTCTGAGAGACTGCCACCGAGAAATTTGTTCTCCAAGTTCTGGACCTGATGAAAAACGATATTGTTTGAATTCATCATTAGATACTATATAACATTGTGGCCCAGACTTCATTGCCATATAGAGGAGGAATACATCGTCTTCCGACCTAAATAAGGAGAAAACTTAGTCTAGACAAGATAAAACAACACAAAGACGTGTAGAGATATCCCATTGTCAATGTACAACGCTCAAACTTATCTCTTCAGTCTTAGTCATGTAGTTGTTTTTTGATGAATAGTATATTTAAATAGTCTCAATGAGTTTGCATTCAGAAGTACTGTATATTTTAACTAGAAGTGCCGTCGTGTACAGATTAACCATAAGGGGTAGGTAATAAGCATTTTCAGCATCCGATTTTAAACTATTCGATTTCAGGTGCGAACAAGCGCCATCAAATTTAATTCAGGAGGATTGACGGGATAAGTAATCTTCTTACAAAAGCAAAGTACATGGAATAGTATTTGATCATATATATATGGTCTCACTGGACAAAACTTTAGAGAACAAGACAGATTATACTTGCATCACTAAAAATTTCTGAAGGTCGATGGAATACGTGAGAACCAGAAGAGGAGTTGACATAACTTCAGATCACCACTTGGTAGTTGCCAAGATGTAACTGAAGCTAAAGAAACACTGGACAACAGAAATTATAATTACATCATGTTATTTTTCATCGAAATCTACTGTGAACATTACAACTATATATAAAAGTGGGAAATTTTAATAGTCCATATATAATCAGATTAATGAAGTTCATATCATTAAACTATAAATGAAAGACTGTGTGAAAAAAAATCTCCGAATTAACAGTAAATAAATATTCGAAGATGGAGTAAATTTATTATGGTAAATTATATTTGATAGGGAATGTAATATTCACCTAGCATTCGACTATAATCAATCAGATAGAAAAAGGATTTGTTTAAATTATCATTTAGAAATTTTCTTAAAATCGTAAACATCACTAAGAATATAGACCTCTTAAACTCTACTAAAGATATTCATACATTTCGTACAATGAGCATTATTAATTGAGGTGGCAATAGACTTTCTGAATTCTCATTTATCTTCTTAATTGTTAGATAAAAGATTATAAATTCTAGGCTTGCGTCGAGTTTTCCGAACCGCATAGAAGAGAATTATACGTAGCAGTCCTACTCTTAATTAAGTTTTGTAAAAAGCAAATCATCTAGATGTAATTAATGGAAAGATCACTTATAAGTAGTACGCGAAAGAGAGATGAACGTGTTTAGTTTTTCAGCTTTCATAAAACCTCTAGTGAATTGGATTGATAATAAGCGTATTTCAACGATGATAATTAGTAAAGCATCAAAACACAGAGAAATTGAAGAAACTAATATTTGAAAAATACCACTAAGTCTACTCAACTGATTTTTTTAGTTTGTAGGTAACTTCCAAATCCGCACATAGCTCTTCCAGAGTTACCGCCTATCCCAAGCCTCAAACAAATGAGGAAGGGTCGGCAACCACATCCCGTAGAAAACAACCTTGCTAAAGAAACACCAAGCAGAATAAACAATTTAAACTCTGTCCTTCAAGTTCAACGAAGAATTATAACGCCTCATGATGAAAGCCAAGATTCTTCAAAAATCATGACGTGGATGCCCTTCTAACAACCACAGAAAGTGTTTATAAGTACATGGAATAACCGAAAGGACCAGTCGAATAGCTACGGAAATGAGGGGAAACAAATAAACAGTTTTCGTAAACAGCGAAACCCATTGGACCTAGGCTGAACAGAAAAGGCTAGGTACGGGAGAGATGCTGTTGTACTCCAGTCATGAAGAGGAAAATGCTCCAGACTCAGGGAACTGTCCAGAGATGCACGAAATGCACTTATTAGGTGGGAATCTTATGGACCCAGGATCATCAAAGCATCCTTCAAAATCAAGAAAAAACGAATCACAATGAATTTTATTCAATGTTATGCACCCACCAATGATAGCAATGACGGCGATAAAGATCAGTTCTACGAGAGGCTGCAATCGATCATAACAAAGTGCCTAGGAAAAGACCTAACCATCCTGATGGAGATCCAAATGTGAATGGACAACAACGGTCATGATGATATCATGAGAAGACATGGACTGGGATAAAGAAACGAAAATGGGGAAAGATTTACAAATCTGTGTGTGTTCAACAAATTGGTCACAGGCGGCACAATATTTCCACACAAACTCATACACAAAACTAGATGAGTCTCACCAGATCACATTACAGAGAACAAGATAGATCATACTTGCATCACTAAAAATTTCTGAAGGTCGATGGAATACGTGAGAACCAGAAGAAGAGTTGACATAGCTTCAGATCACTACTTGGTAGTTGCCAAGATGAAACTGAAGTTAGGGAAATACTGGACAACTGAGTAAATAGCATTACAAAGATTTAATACAGTTTACCTTCGAGATACCAACAAACTCAAAGGATTCGAGATAATTCTCAACGGCAGGTTGTAAGCCTAACAAGATCTACACAGAAAAGAGGAAACTACTATGGAGGACAACTGGGAAGGGATCAAGGAAGTACTAACTTCAATGTGTCAAGAAGTACCGGGTTGCAAGAAGCACCATCATAGGGAATGGATCACTACCGAAACCCTAGACAAGATTCAAGAAAGGAAGAGTAACAAGACAGCAAGTAACAACAGCTGAACAAGAAAAAGTAAAGGCACACACTGAATATACATAAGCTAATTAGTGAAGACGACCTGACAAACAGTAATATGTGGAAGACCTAGCTACGACAGCGGAAATAGCTGCAAGAGAAGGAAATGTGAGACAACTATATGATACCAAGAAGAAACTAGCATGGGAATATTGTAAACCACAGCAAACAGTCAAGAACAAAGAAGAGAAGCTAATCACTCAGATTCAAGAACAGGTGGGTGGAAAACTTGAAAGAAATGAATACGCCAGGCCACTATACTCACCAGACATCGAAGTAACCCACACAGGCTGTCCTATAGATGTCACTCCATCAACAATCGAGGAACTCAGCATGGTTATCAAACAAACCAAAAGTGGGAAAGCTGCAGGACCAGGCAACATGCCAGCTGAAACACTGAAGTAAAACACAGAATTCACTAAAAAAACACTCAATGTCCTATTCACGAAGATTTCACAGGAAGAGCAAGTGCCGAAAGACTGTGTTAGCGGGATATAGATTGGATTAAAGCGTGCTCAATGCACGATTGCTTTGGCGCACGCTGATTGGATAATTCTTGTCCAATCAGCGCTGCTCGATATTTGGAGAATACTCTAGAAATATTCTCATGTAAAAACTATAAATATACTAACGGTTTTCCTATTGTGTTTCTTACTTCCATCTAACCTTGTTATTTGGAATATAATCTCTTTCCTGTTCAACCGTGTTCTGATTTGGGGATTTGTCGAGTGAATTGGTGTCCGTGAATACTAAGCAATAGGAACAGCTGGGTTAAAACCGTAAGAGCGAAATTATAACAGTGGCGACGGGGAAAAAGGAAAATAAATTCAAGATGTCCATATCAGATGACCAGCTTAACCGAATACTACAACAACAGCAATCACAATTAGATGCACAAATGCGGTTGTTAGAGACTGACTCAACAGCTTAACATCCACTGCCCGAGTTCACATGCCATTTCAAGTTCGTCTTGTGATGCAGTTGCTAGCAGCATCCCAGAATTCATCTATGATCCCGAAAGCGGAAGTACTTTTCTCACGTGGTTAAACGTTGAGAAGATGCATTTAGAATAGAATTCTGCAACCAAGACGACGCGTGGAAGACTCGGTTGTTGGTACGTAAGTTAGGAATTAGTGAACATGCACGCTATGCTGACCGTATATTGCCAAAGTTACCTCGACATCTCAGTTTCGAGGAGACGATAATTCAATTGTCAGAGATATTCGGTGAATCCTCCTCATTGTTTAGTATTCGACATCAGTGTCTAAATTTGGTGAAACGCGAAGCCGATGAATATGGTGTTTTAGCAGACATCGTCAACAGAGAATGTGAACGGTTCAAGTTACGCTCGTTGACAGAAGACCAATTTAAATGCTTAATATTCATCAAAGCTCTTCAGTCACCACAAGATGCTGAGATCAGGACTAGACTTTTGACTCGACTGGATCAAGACCCCAACGTCACACTCAGAACATTGACAGATGAATGTAAGCGGCTACAAAGCATCAGACACGACGAGTTGATTGAACAGGTAAATCCTAATTTAACCTGCAGTAGTGTCAATGCTATTACTAGGTTAAAAGTTCAGAAGCCGATAACAATTCGTAACAAACCAACATCAAGTCCTTAACAGAGTATTGGAATATGGTTTCTAACTACGTGAGGAAAAGTGTATCTTCTTTATGCATTCGATCAAATACCTTGGTTTTATCTTAGATAAGAACGGTCGCCGACCAGACCCTGCCAACGTCGAAGCCATTCAGAAGATGCGTGCACCAACTGATGTCTCTTCATTAAGATCCTTCTTGGGGTTAATCAGTCACTATAGCACATTCTTCCCTGAAATGCATCGAGTGAGAGGTCCGCTGAATGAATTACTATCAAAAGATAAACCTTGGCAGTGGTCAGCAGAACGTCAAGCATCTTTTGACAGAGTCAAATCAATTCTCAGCTCAAAGATTCTTTTGACACACTTCGATCCCAGCTTGGGAACTGTTGTTGCATCTGATGCCTCTAGTCATGGAATTGGAGTAGTGATATCTCACGTGTTTCCGGACAAATCAGAAAAGACAATTGCCCATGCTGCTAGATCACTTACCCCAGCCGAGCGAAACTACAGTCAAATTGAAAAGGAAGCTCTTGCAATCATTTTCGCTGTCAAAAGATTTCATAAAATGCTTTATGGTTGTACATTTACTCTACTGACAGATCACAAACCTTTGATTGCAATCTTTGGTTCTAAGAAATGAATCCCGGTCTATACGGCTAATAGACTACAGCGTTGGGCAACAATGCTCCTGAGTTATGATATCAATATCAAGTATCAGTCGACAAATACTATCGGTCAAGCCGACGCTCTCTCTCTCTCTCGATTAATTGGAGTTCAGCATCCTAGACCAGAGGATATAATCAGTGCCTCCATAGCAGTAGACCCAGAAATACGAAGTATAGTGGCAGATGCCATTCGAAACACTCCAGTGTCGTCAGATGAAGTCAGAGAAGAAACTCTTCGAGACCCGATTCTACAAGAAGTTAGAAAGTTCCGCCTGGAAGGGTGGCCCGCGAAGATCAGTTCCACAGAGCTTCAACAGTTTTACCAGCGTAGACTCTCTCTCTCTCTCAATCATCGACGACTGCCTGCTGTCTGCGAACGTGTCATAATCCCAAAGAAGCTACAACTAGCAGTGCTTGAACAGTTGCACGCAGGACATCCTGGAATAAATCGCATGAAAGCATTAGCACGAAGTTATGTATACTAGCCGCATTTAGACACCCAACTGGAGCAGCTATCCCGTTCATGTACCAAATGTGCATTAGCAACAAAAGCACCGCGAAAAGCACAGCTGCAATCATGGCCAATACCACAGTCACCGTGGCAGCGTATACACTTAGACTTTGCTGGTCCACTTTATGGACAAACTTACTTTTCGGTAGTTGATGCACGATTGCTTTGGCGCACGCTGATTGGATAATTCTTGTCCAATCAGCGCTGCTCGATATTTGGAGAATACTCTAGAAATATTCTCATGTAAAAACTATAAATATACTAACGGTTTTCCTATTATGTTTCTTACTTCCATCTAACCTTGTTATTTGGAATATAATCTCTTTCCTGTTCAACCGTGTTCTGATTTGGGGATTTGTCGAGTGAATTGGTGTCCGTGAATACTAAGCAATAGGAACAGCTGGGTTATAACCGTATGAGAGAAACATAACAGACTGGAAAGAAAAATAACTTATGAAGATACCAAAGAAAGGAGATCTGAGCAAACGTGAAAACTACAGAGAAATCACACTACTATCGGTACCAGGAAAGGTTTTCAACCGAGTGTTGATGAACCGGATGAAAGACTCAGTAGACGCCCAACTTTGAGATCAGCACATCGAATTCCGCAAAAATCAGTCGTGCACAGACTAAATCGCAACACTTCGGATCATCGTTGAACAATCAATTGAATGGAAATTGTCACTTTACATCAACTACTTGACGATAAGAAAGCGTTCAACAGTGTGGACAGAAGGACTTTATACAATCTTCGTCGACGCTATGGTGTACTTGAGAACACCTTCAATATCATCTGGAATTCATACGACGGACAACACTGCAAAGTCGTTCATGCACACCAGCTGACAGATGCTTTAGAAGTGAAGACCGGTGCCAGACACGACTGTCTACCCTCACCCTTTTTCTTTCTTCTGGTGGTTGACTGGATTATGAAGACCACCACATATCAAGGGAAGCATGGAATACAATGGACAGCTTGCATGCAACTAGACGATTTGGACTTCGCAGATGACCTGGCTCTTCTGTCCCATACGCAGCGACAAAAGCGGATGAGGATGGTCAGTATAGCAGCAGCCCCCCTTCAGTGAGTTTTAACATACACAAAGGAAAAGGCAAGATCCTCAAATACAACACGGAGAACATCAACAAAATCACACTTGATGGAGAAGCTCTGGAACATGTGGAAACTTTCACGTACCTGGTCAGCATCATCGATCAACAAGGAAGATCCAATGCAGACGTAAAGGCGAGGATTGGTAAGGCAAGAGCGGCATTCCTACAATCGAAGAACATACGGAACGCAAAACAACTCTCAACCAATATCAAAGTCACAATCTTCAATACGAACGTCAAGACAGTTCTACTGCACGGAACTGAAACTTGGAGAACTACTACAACAACCATCAAAAAACTACAGGTATTTATAAACCTTTCTCTACGTAAGGCACTGAATGTCCGTTGACCAGATACCATCAGCAACATCCTACTGTGGGAGAGAACAAACCAGCTTACAGATGATAAAGAAATCAGGAAAGGTCGCTGGAGGTGGATAGAACACACATTTAAGAAATCATCAAACTGCACCACGAGGCAAGCCCTAGTTTGGAGTCCTGAATGTAAGCGGAAAAGAGGAAGGCCAAAGAACACATTGCGTCTGGAAATAGAATCAGATATGAAAAGGATGAATAACAACTGGGAAGGATTGCTCAGGACAGGGTTGGATGGAGAATGCTGGTGAGCGGCCTATGCTCCTTCACGAGGAGTAAAAGATTTAAGATTATATATATATATATATATATATATATATATATATATATATATATATATATAGAGAGAGAGAGAGAGAGAGACTTACGTAGTATTTGTACAGAATTTTTGAACAGAGATACCCAACTGATTTCCCAACATTTTAATTGGATTCCAAAACTCTGATTTACGTAAGATTGTATTCCCTTTACTGACAAAACAAAAACGCCGGAGATTGAAATCTTTGTTGATCTGTCTTAAAACCTAAACAAAAACGGTTCAGATAAAAAACAATCACTGGTCAGATGTGTATAGATCTTCGAATAAAATGCTGAACTTATGTTTTCTTGTATTTTAAGCTGTAATTTACAAACCGAAAAAGATTTGTAAGATATTTATCACTTGTTAAAAAGGTGGAGGCAGTTAGATTACATATCTCCACCTTTAGGCCTCCTAGGGTTACTGTTAGTTTCAGACCTGGATAGAGTCAGAAACTCCATCCCGAAGAACACAACACTGCTATTTTAAAAAATGCTAACCACAGAAAAAAATCTAGACCACTTAAACTCTTCCCTGTGTGTTGAAGGATCTTGATTTAGAAGAATTATGACGTCAATAGTGAAAGCCGAGATTCTTCGGAAATCACTAGTATGATGTCTCTTCTGACAACCAGAGCAACAATTAATATAGGTACACAGAATGCCCGCATAATATGGTATGTCCAGTCAAATAGCTGCAGAAATGAAGAGATACAACGTGGTGGCCATAAGAAGTGAGACTTATTGTACCCAATATAGACAGACACGGTTATATTCGGGAGAAATAGTCGTACTTTAGTCATCAAGAAAAAATGCTTCGCGCATACAGGAACTTGGACTGACGCTATCAAAAGAAGCACGAAGAACACATAAGGTGGGAATTCCGTGGATCCAGAATACTTGGAGCATTCCTCAAAACAAAGGGGAGCATCACAATGAATGTTATTCAGTCCTATGCGCCCAGCAAAGAAACCGAAGGCAATGAAGATCAATTTTATGAAAGGTTGTGGTCGATCGTAGAGAATTGACTGGGAAAGGACATGACTATCTTGATGGGAGAACTGAACGTCAAAGTCGGAATGGATAATACTGGGTAGGAAGACATCATGAAATCATGTAGACTAGGAGCAAGGGCTGACAATGACGAGAGATTTGCAAATTTATGTGTCTTCAACAGAATGATCTTCAGGAGCAGTTTGTCGAGATAGATAGATAGATAGATAGATAGATAGATAGATAGATAGATAGATAGATAGATAGATAGATAGATAGATAGATAGATAGATAGATAGATAGATAGATAGATAGATAGATAGATAGATAGATAGATAGATAGATAGATAGATAGATAGATAGATAGATAGATAGATAGATAGATAGATAGATAGATAGATAGATAGATAGATAGATAGATAGATAGATAGATAGATAGATAGATAGATAGATAGATAGATAGATAGATAGATAGATAGATAGATAGATAGATAGATAGATAGATAGATAGATAGATAGATAGATAGATAGATAGATAGATAGATAGATAGATAGATAGATAGATAGATAGATAGATAGATAGATAGATAGATAGATAGATAGATAGATAGATAGATAGATAGATAGATAGATAGATAGATAGATAGATAGATAGATAGATAGATAGATAGATAGATAGATAGATAGATAGATAGATAGATAGATAGATAGATAGATAGATAGATAGATAGATAGATAGATAGATAGATAGATAGATAGATAGATAGATAGATAGATAGATAGATAGATAGATAGATAGATAGATAGATAGATAGATAGATAGATAGATAGATAGATAGATAGATAGATAGATAGATAGATAGATAGATAGATAGATAGATAGATAGATAGATAGATAGATAGATAGATAGATAGATAGATAGATAGATAGATAGATAGATAGATAGATAGATAGATAGATAGATAGATAGATAGATAGATAGATAGATAGATAGATAGATAGATAGATAGATAGATAGATAGATAGATAGATAGATAGATAGATAGATAGATAGATAGATAGATAGATAGATAGATAGATAGATAGATAGATAGATAGATAGATAGATAGATAGATAGATAGATAGATAGATAGATAGATAGATAGATAGATAGATAGATAGATAGATAGATAGATAGATAGATAGATAGATAGATAGATAGATAGATAGATAGATAGATAGATAGATAGATAGATAGATAGATAGATAGATAGATAGATAGATAGATAGATAGATAGATAGATAGATAGATAGATGTAGACATTTACATACTACATCTACTCAATTATTTCCTGCACATTTTTGTGCTGAGATGCGCAGCCTCCTTGAAGAGCATAACTTTTTCCAAGTGCTAATTTGTTATATTACGTGGAATACAATGTTAATGAGGAATGAAGTATTCCACTTCCTGTTTCCTAAATAGTTATCACAGTGTTGCCCTGGTTTATTAGACAAATACAAAACGCAACAGTTTTGGATTATTTAAAAGTCACTGAGAAATATCTGCAGCAAAAAATAAAGACCCAAGCCTAAGGTTTAGAAACTGTGATTACAAATACGTTGGTTATTGTACTACTGACGGATCCAAGAATTCGTGAATACTTATAGATATTTAAAAAGCCATGATAATATCGTTGATTTCAGTATACATTAAAATCTTAACCAAGAGATTTGTTGAGCAAACTTCGAAAATCCTACGACTTTCAAACTCAAATACTGTAATAGAACAACTTGAACTTGATAATAAAATGAGATATTTACGAAAAAGCATGTATACATAAATCTAGTATACAGATTACCGATACAAGAGAAACCAAATCATAAAAAGATAAATAGCATCGATAGTCAAGTATCAGATTATGAAAAGAACAATTTGATAACAAAGTGAGCAGAAATTGTGACAAGAAAGCTAGTACATTAATGAGATAAATAAATGTTTTATTTTACTAACCAGTCAACTCAATCTGATGACAGCATCTTAATGATGAATCGAAAAAGATTGAGGACTAGTGCAGAGGTGGCCATTAAACTAGGTTATCCTATTGTTATTGATGTAGAATAAAAAGTGATAGCTGTGATACCATACAAAACACTCTTACTCGCTTCAGACACCCCTCGTCTTCAACTACTTCATAAGTCACATTTTACTAAGAACGTTTATTTGATGAGATTGGATTTACGTCCAAGTTAATTTAGTTAAATATTGATTCAGTGACTATTAGTGACAGAGTTTTGTTACCTAAGTAATTGTCACTGAATACAATATCATAGTGAAGTAATCATTACAAGGAAAGTCTATTGAGAATCAAATAACTGAAACAACTGGGATATACTGAAATTTAGTGAATAGAAGTTACGGCAGTGCGTTGGAGTTAACTGAGAGAAAATCATCTCAAATCAATGTGAACAATTAAGATTGATTTCCTTCACTGTACGCTGTCTTGGGGGATGTTAAATCCGGAACAGACAGACAGAGGAATGAAATGTAAAATCACTAGACAGACTAGCTTAGGTATTACATATGACAATGTCATATGAATAATCAATTAGCTATGTGATACACAGTTACTCCTTTTCTGTCATAATCATATTCCGTTCTAACGACTGGATTTGATTCCGTTCACGAACTAGCTGTTAGCTTCAATGCTTTACGCCGTTTTGGGGAATATAGTATCCCGAACAACTACATATAGTTACTGCTTTCTGCCAACCATAACCGATCAAGAAAACCGGTTTGTTAGTCCGTCTTATATATTAACCAGGATATTGGTGATTAAGTTAAATACCATGTTGAAATAAACTAATTTGGCTTTTCAGTGGAAATGACTTGTGAATTGTCAAAATCATTACATAATTTAAAAAGAAACTCAGTAAATTATAAAGAGTTGAAGCGTGATGATTCTTATAAGTCATTGAAATAGATTATCGGTAATTAATAGTTTATTTTTACTCAGTATAATAAATATGGATGTCTTTAACTTGTAGCAGTCAGAAAGAGAGGCCGCGTAAAACCTTAATATAGGTAAATGTCAGAGTAATCATACATTATATTAAAAAGCAGAACAGAAAACAAAAGTAGAAATAATGAACACAAGTAATAGAAAGCTGGAAGGAAACAATTTATGAACTTTTAATGGTCTTTTGTAAGTGTTTGAATCGTCCTGTTGTTGAAGGGTCGAGACTGTTCAGTCTACTTTGACATATTTCCACCTTGAACGGATTGCTTCGATACTGCAAATAATTCTTTTTTTTTTCAGCAAGATGCTGGATTTAAATCCAAGTTCGAACGCTTATACTAGAACACACGTACATCTAAATAACGACTCCTGAATATGACGAAACACGCGTCCTGGACTCCGATAATACTCACTATCCAATTATATTCAAGGATTTCAAATGGCAATACTTAAAATGATAATAAAGATTTAGGTGGAACATGAACAGTGGTTCGTAACGCCGACACTTAATGAGCTGAGTCATTTTCCTTAACCATTGACTGACTGTCTAACTGGGATCGATCACGACATCTAGTTACTTATACGATTCACACTAATAAATAGACTAAATGAACTGCTGCAATATCATGGTTTGGATACTTGGGAGCTTATTACTTTTGTATGTTATTTGTCGGATACAGAAACAGACAATGTCAACATCAAAAATTAATATCAATTATCTTGAAAATATAACTTCTTACTAGCAGGAATATTAACTGTAAAAAAGGTTAAATTACTAGTTTATGTAAGAACGGATGATAACTGAGTAGTTCAGGTTACTGAACTAAATATAAAACATATATATAGATCCAAACAACAATAACTTTTTAACAGCCATACACTAGTTGTTTAAAGTCAAGTATTAAACCACTAATATTTGAGTGGTAGCTTAGTGGGTAAAGTAATTGCTGTTTAACGTGCATGTGGTATATTCGAACTCTGATCCACTTGCTTCGATTTCAGAATACGAATTGTATTGTTAACCTCTATACGAAATAGAGTAGCTAAACACTGAGTACATAAACCTGTACATGACAATTTGTACATAGAAATTTAGTAAACAATGAAAATATTTAAAATTGCTGAGTTACTTGTTAAGCAAACTAAAGTTACCTCAGCAACCTGCAATCCTGCCGAATCGGAAAAGAGAAATTTGCGCATATTCATAAGATTCATAAAATCGATAATACAATCTAAGGGTTCACTTTGAGAATCAACAAATCGTTTTAGAGTCATAACTTCATTCGATGTTGCTGTTAGATATAAACTTTCAATATCTGTCCCCTGGAATTAGTAAAACAAGATCAAATTTTAAAAAATGTGCACATTACCTTTATCACTGCTTCATAAAATGTATCAGCCATTTGGGAAAAATGGAACTGTGACATGTCTGCCGGTGGTAGACTTTTTCTACATACTGAACATAAATAGCCTCTATAGGAATTTTACGGTTCGACAGTGGATTTATAAAATTTAATAACAGCTAACCTATTAACAAATGCAGATAAATCTCCTGACCAACGTTCATGCTTCAAATTCGAAAACCAACGTTGAATACATTCAGCAATCTCACAAGTAATTATCCATCGATGTGTTTGCATTATTTGAAATAACTGACTGACTAAATGAACAGATTCTTCTTCTTCTAGCCCATTTAACTTATTAAAAAATTCATAGAAAACATTTTCTCGTGGTGAACTATTTAGTTTGTGCATGCACTCAAAAAAAGAAGAGATAGTGTCAAATTTTAATGCGGAAGAACACATCTGTTCATAAATTGCTGAATTATCACATTTTTTCATTTCTGAAGAGAATAATAATTCCAGTGTGTCTCTCCAAAACGGCGTCCGTGCTACCGATTTTGCTATATCGTTTTGAAAAACTTTTTTTTCTACGGGATTTGATCGAAGCAAAAGATAATCGTACAAACTTTTGAATTCAGTATAACGCTCTTGAATGACTAACAATTTTAATGTACACATTAATGTAGCATTGCTATGTTCGTTTTTATCGCTCAAAATGTAGTTGGTTAATGATCTTCTTAATTCAGGACAATCATGATAACTAGTGTAGTTCAGAAGACAAGACCAAAATGATAAGTGAGTTGAAGGTAAGTTGTTGTTCATATCTCTACAATCACTAACTGAAACAGTAAAATCACCTAATGGTGATAAAACCGAGTTAATGTATGATCTCGAAATGTCCTGCTTTGCTGCATTTTCAAATAATGTGGTGATTTTAAAATCTGATTTACTGAAAAATCTTCCCTGAATATTATATATACAATAGTTTTGGAAATGAAACTTTTGATAAAGCAAACGATACATTCGATAAGCTGACATATTTTTTCAAGTTATCAAAAAGAAATTCATTAGTTCAGTAGTAAAGTGAAACACCATATTTTTTTCAAATTCCATCATAAACCTTGTTGTGTGGTGTAACTAGGAATGTCCGAAAAAGAAAAAAGTAATATGCATATTTATATTATCATTATGGTACATTCGTAGCTTTTCGATACTGATAACAAGTGATAGTAATACATGAAAAATCAGCCCAAAACTTGCAGATTCAGATGTAGCAAATTTTAAAAACTATATACATTGTTTCTATCCGGAGGGTAGGTAATTTTTACAGGCAATAAAAGCCTATATCTTCCTGCGACTTCGCAATAAAACATGTGATAAAAGTTCCCTTAGGCCCTTAACTCGATCGAAAAACCCAGTAACAAATAAATAAGATAATTAATGGCAAATTAACTGGGGTCATGAGAGTGAATAAATACATCCAAGTTAATTTAGTTAAATATTGATTCAGTGACTATTAGTGACAGAGTTTTGTTACCTAAGTAATTGTCACTGAATACAATATCATAGTGAAGTAATCATTACAAGGAAAGTCTATTGAGAATCAAATAACTGAAACAACTGGGATATACTGAAATTTAGTGAATAGAAGTTACGGCAGTGCGTTGGAGTTAACTGAGAGAAAATCATCTCAAATCAATGTGAACAATTAAGATTGATTTCCTTCACTGTACGCTGTCTTGGGGGATGTTAAATCCGGAACAGACAGACAGAGGAATGAAATGTAAAATCACTAGACAGACTAGCTTAGGTATTACATATGACAATGTCATATGAATAATCAATCAGCTTTGGGATACACGGTTACAAATAGCTTTATGGAAATTATTCTTCGACTCTCATATACACGTGTAATTTTGGAGGAAGTGGCATGAACTAACGACAATTATTTTATCACGGATGTGCTCGCAAAAGATTGGCATGGTCACACTATTTTCGGGAACTAGATTTCTTCCCAGCAACTAAGTAGTTATTCTACAGTAGATGAGTTGTAGTTTCTTAAGCGAGAGAAAATTAAGTGCGAGATACTCTCAACTGCTATGAAGTGATTCCGGAACTAAGAAGCATTAGATGATCCATTAATCATTAACCTCCATTTTGAGTGAGTTAAGTAGTTTTTTTATACATCCTTAAGGAGACTACTTTTAAAGATTAGATAAAAACGTGTTAATAAATAAGTCAGGATCACTTTTTAATGGTGGTTTACAATATCAGGATTTTGCAGAACATTAGTTAATGCACATGTTAATTTCTACACGTTTAACAAAAAAGTATAAGCCTTTTATTAGTGAATGTAATTTTAAATACTCATATAAAGGAAGTTTGGAGTTACCAACTGTTACTCCTATACTGAAAGCACTGAGTACAGTACGCGACATCCACCAATGTCAATGGGTTTTTTCAGTAGGAGTATGCAAACAATCACTCATCTAGTCGAGAAAACGTGATTATAGTCAGTTAATTGTAATAAGTGCATACGTTTTTAGTCGTTATTAAGTGACATTGGATCAATGAAAGTAAAGACGAATGCAATGTTATCGCGAGTTGCTGGCCTACTAGTGATGATAAAAAAATATTTTATTCAACAGCAGCTCTGTCGCCACACAAAAGTTACTCATTTTCTACCAGTGGTATGTATTCCTATGATTTTAAAGATCCACCGAGTATAACAGAGAACGGTGCCAAAGGTATAACAGGATGACGGCACACCAGTAGTCAGAATTGTTATTTAAAAACTAGAGAACAATCTAATACTCAATCAAAATCATTTTGACTTTGAAAAATCAGATAAACATAACAGGAACAACTCGTTCTAATCAACTAAAAAATTGGTGGTTTAGAAACACATTGTTAATCAAAAGCTAGATCACGTACGAAACATAGACTTGTGTGTGGAAACACATCAAATGAGTTTCTGAGTGATTAGTTTTGTATAGTCTTTAACAAAAGTGATATCAATCAATCCGTCATGAATGAGGTGTTACAGTTTTCACTGATAATACGGAACGTTAATGGTTACCAAGCACATGAAAAAAGGCGTAAAACCATCAGATTGATTCGTAGATTAACAATAAAGAGTGAGGTTATATAGTAAGTTTGTAGGAAGCAATTTCCTACAGGTGTAACTAAGCTATTCTCTAGACTGTCGAGCACAGAGTCTTGGTTTAGCCTAAGTCAGAACAAGTAAGCTATTTGGCATGATAAACTTTATCTGTTTCTAAAACATAAATTAACACCGTTAGTATACGAAATTAACAGTACAGTCTATTAACATAGTGAAAAACAGAGATATAAATAACATACCGAACAGTAACTAGAGTCAACAAGGCGAATATTGCTTTATAATGAACATAAAATTGTGATTGGTGAATATACAAGACATACTCATACAAGGTCAAAAAAGTTAATGTGGTGTACCTTTCACTTTATCATTGGTGAGCTCGTTTATTGATCACACTTTACAAGCTTACAGTCCCCATCTTTGATGTAATGAACTTATTTACTGAAACACATAAATATTGGTTCCGGCAGGCGACGGGCTTTCAGTTTGCCCCCAAATGCCCTGGTACGGCCAAGAGTGGGGAGTGTCCGCTCTCCCTCTCCAAATGCTCTCACATGGCCACGCGTAGATAGCCTCTGCCAGGGAAGTCCTACTCTCCGTTTTCTCATGACACAGGTGTTGTTTACGAAAATGAGAGGACGAAAAGCGAATGTCCGGCGCTTTAACCGGATCCCAAATCAATGGTGCACATGGGCTCCAGTATCCTAAAGGAACAAATGGCGTATGAACCAATTGTTGGTCACCAGCTACCATGGGACTGCATCTCCCTACGATGCTACACTGCCTTGTGGATCAGAAGTTCAGGTCGAAGGCTCGGGGTGTGACTCCCTAAGAAAACCACCTGCTTCGGTTTGGGCACCCGGGCAGTATCACAGCCATCACACAAATCAATTGAGATTCGTGTGGCGCATATGTATTTGGTGCCTCCTTGTACCAATACCTATGTGTTAAAATAAATAAATAAATAAATACAAAGAGGCAACAAACAGATATACGCCACACAGATCTCATTTGGTATGTGTGAGGGCTGTGATACTGCCCGGGTGCCCAAACCGAAGCAGGTAGTTTTCTTAGAGGGCCATATCTCGAGTCTTCAATCTAAAGGTCTAATCCCCAAGGTAGTGGAGCATCGTAAGGAAATGCAGTCCCATGGTAGCCGAAGACCAACGATTGGTTTATACGCCATTTGTTCCTTCAAGATACTGGAGCCCATGTGCACCATTGATTTTGGGTCCGGTTAAAGCGCCGGACATTCGCTTTTTGTCCTATCAATTTCGAAAAAAACAATCATGCCGCGAGAAGGCAGTGAATAGGACTTCCCTGGCAGTGGTCGTAAGCACGTGGTCATGTGAGAGTATTTCGAGAGGGATAGCTGACTTTCCCCACTTTCGGCCGTACCGATGCACTTGAGGGAAAACTACCGACAGAGAACTTAGTAATGACGCTTACTATTGTACTACGAAGGAATAGTATCAGAACATTAGGGAATATCTGGAAGACAATCTAAAGTCTGAGGCATGATTCACTTTGAAAAAAAATATTCCAAGCGTTCTGACACGAAATTCCTGGTAGTGATAGTTATATATTGGAAATTCCTTTCATATTTCGATCGAAATATTTGATATGTACCGCTAGCTAGCTAGCGGTAAAATATTTTACATTTGACCTTAACAGGAACGAACGTATCGCGTGGAGCTGCAGGCAGAATAGGTACACGGTGTGCAGTCACATCCACTGATTGAATTCATCATTGATACTTAGGAACTTATAAAAACGAGTTCAAAACAGTTAAAATCAAGGCTGAGAACCCCGAACACACGGTAACGCACTAGCTTGACTTGCCTTACCAAATATCTCACATCATATTCAAACAACATGTGACCTGGATCAGTTTCAGTTCCAGTTTCAGTTTGGAAAGGACAGTAGGTTTAATGGCCTGTGTTAGTTCTGGCAATTGTGTTCTCTAAGTTGATCCAACTTTCTTTTGAAAGAATCTACGGATGGAGCTTCAACCACGTGTTGAGGTAATGAATTCCACTCGTTGATGATTCGGTGGGAAAGTCGGTAATCAGCTGACAAGTAATTTGTTCTGGGCTTTTGAACTTTTTTGGAGTGTCCTCGCAAATTCTCTGTTTTGGAAGACAGGATAAATGAGTGCATATCAGGTGCAAATTTATCACTAAGCAATTTGAAAACTGTAATCAAGTCGCCTCTAATTCTACGATATGACAAAGGGAATAGGTTTAGCTTGGCCAGTCGAGAATCATACGGAAGCTTCGCTATTCTGGGAATCAGCTTAGTTGCTGTTCTCTGGACCTTTTCCAAAAGCTCACTGTCTTTTTGAGCAGGGGCTAGCCGCTTGTATGCAGTACTCAAGTTTAGGACGTACGAACACTGTATACAAAGTCAAAAACGTTTGAGCGTCGACATGAGTAAAAGCCCTACGTATTGACCATAATGTTTTAGAAGCTCTGGCGGCTATTGCACGGCAGTGTGCAGTAGTCTTCAGATCTTGGCTAACGATGACTTCTAAGTCAATATGTGTCTGGACAACAGGTAGCTCAGTGTTATTCATCGTGTATGTATCTGAACCTTGATGACCTTCCGGCTTCCATAATTATCTTCAATTATGATAGCAGGTCTATCAATTTGTCTCTATCGTTATTGAAATCCTAAATATGTAGACCCCGTTTTTTTCTGGAAAAATTCATCCTCGGAGCTAACCCTTTATTTTTTTCATACAGTCTCCCGATTTTCAATCAGTAAATTCGATAAGCTGAATGCCAACCTAAGTCTATTTAACACTTATTTTCAAGCTTTGTCATATTAATTAATTCTATATGGAGGATAAAAATATAATATGTTAGCTATCGAGTAATAATCCAAAATAAAGGATGTTCCTTTGCAACACCTTCTATGTTGTGGCCATGTTGAGTGGTTGTAAGTAATGATCAACAAATTTTCCTATAATTAGGATGATTGTCTGACGGATGAATCCGGATGTGGCGTACTCAGAACTGGCTTACATTGCACTGCGAGTTACAGGTGAAGTGTTTGGAAATTCTTTTTTTGCACTGCTGTGTATTTACAGCTGAAGAAGGTTTTTTCAAGTGTCGACTAAATCTCTTCACTATATCCCTCATTTTGAGATAGTAGGCTGCATCAATCATAAAAGTTTGACTGAAGCCTGGGATAATCCGGATTTAAGTTGATGCATACAGCCTAGCATATTAGCCGATAATAATAATATCTCAGATAACAATGCGTTACATGAAGAATGCCAGTTTACAGGCAATATCAAATTGTTACGAGTGATACATGCTTTAATCTACTAAGTTACTCAATTACACTAATACTTCGTGACCCATATGGGTAATCTAAACAGGGGACACATTTTGATACATTAGAATAATAATGTTAGCACGATTCCAATGTCTAACAGCAGAGTTGGAGCGCTTTGTAGAGGTTGCGTTGCGATGACCTGAAGTCCATAGCAGTCATTTGAAGACGTTAACTTGAAAGTATTAGTTCGTGCCTCTCGATGTGGATCCCAAATAAAAGGTGATGGTGTAGGACAAAGTTGTATGTTCCATAAATATTTTCGGTGATGCACCATTAGGGTACTGAAAAAGAGAGAGAAATGCAGAACAGACGTTTTCATGACTAGTGACGTTTAGTCATTTGTACATGGACAACATGGGCGTGACTAGTTAGACCCATTCTCTTTTAATTGGTCGATTTCTAAGCAAGTGCATTTCATCAGGTCGAAGAAAACAAGCCACAGTATGGCGATGAATGAACAAATAGTTGTCTGAATGAAGTTGATTTAAAGAGGACCTGGAATTTAAGGATAATGTGTAGTTTAAACATTTAGTAAGGAAAATACTATGTTCAAATGTCAACCGTGTTTTTTTTCATTTTGAATATTACAACTCGCTTTCATTTTTACGACTTCCGTAGAATCAGTGGTGGGCCAATTCAAGGTCACAGATATGAGTCAAATAGATGTTTGGCATGAGAAACTGGAATCAATACCACTAGTTTGTGATATCCCACTTGACTATAAGGAGCCGTAATTAAACAAGGTGAGCAACTGGTTTCTGACAAATATCTTAGAGGTGGAGTATAATATGGTTTCATCAAGAGTAATGCTTCATATAAATAAATGAAGTCATCCACTTAAGTTAGTATATAGAATTATCCATCCAACTGTGGCAGAGCGATATTAAATAGAAACGTACGTAGCCAAAAACGTTCACATGGTGTTAAAGAAAAACATGGCAGAGATTCAATGCTTGTTTACACCATATTTTTCTCATACTAAGCACTAATGCCCTAACCCCTTCACTTTCACTTCGGGCCAACGAAGCTGTCTGGATTTCAGCTAAGTTGTGGTTTGACACACATGAATGGAACGAGTAGTATTAAAAATGATGCGATAATATTTTTTTCGTGTGACTAAGAGACGTTGACCGGTAAATGAGTCAAAAGTTGTGAACATAATGGGACAGTTCAGAGTATTTGATGAAATTTTTTCAAAATTTTGGGTCTGTTGCACGGGCATGAGACTTATTGTCCAGGATATTAAAATAATCATCACTCTACTCAAGAGTTTGATGATGCAGGATCAGCCCTTCTTGAACACTTTTATAGTATTGTAGTGAAATTAACCCTCCGACTAACAGCCGGTAGCTTTCAATCAATTTCAGCAGTTATACAACTGTGTGTAAAATGCCACGTTTTCTTATAGGATTGAATAATAATGTTTAGTATAGAAAATTCATTATTCGTTATTTTTTTGTATACTTTTAATCTTAACTGGGGTGTCATTAGTATTCTGGACGCTTATAAAATGTTTAGGTTAAAACTGTATATTATCTCGTTTAATAACGTCCTTTATCTACTTTAGTCGTTTTTTAAATTTTGCATAATTGTGCCCTTTGATTTAGAATTTCTAAACGTTTCGTTGAACGTGAAATCGGGCTGCCTGAAACCATCTAGAGCCGTCGTGAGGCACATCAATTGACCAAACCAAAGGTAATATTCAGTCAATCCATGATCTTGAGCAACCGTTCATCCATTGTCTGAAGCAGATAGTTGTCTCTACGCGATACGGATCGGA